AGCCTATTCTGTAAAGAACGAACCGTTCGATTCGGTAGAATTTTTTCGATTGTGACGTCATTTTCGGTTTGGTAGCGTGGAAGCTATTCCGTAGCATCAAACCGATCGGTAACTCAATCGAAGCCTCGATTCGCTGACCGATAGCACTGTGGGTTTCGATTTGAATTTCGGTAAAGGTTTTTGACGTTATGGTGACGCGTGTTAATGTTTAATCAGTTTTTTTTCAATATACATTTTATATTTTTAGGCACAGAAGGAAACAGATAAGACGAGTAATAACAGGATTAACATGAGGCTCCTCGGGATTCCTCTTCCAGTGAAAATCCTCGAGTAGAAGTAGGACTGTTTTCAGTGTTTTCATCCAGGAATTTTGTTACCCTCGTCGCAGCAATGTCAATATTTACGATTTAGTTTTTTGGCTAATTGTGGCCGTTCTTCTCTCTGCGTGTTTTGAAGTGTCAGTATTTTGCAGAGTCGGAGGACGAATGTTCCATGCTGCAAAGTTTAACGATTTTTTTTTTGAGCCGATGAGCAGAAACCCTTGGAGATCCGATTGGAGGAGTATTGTAGCGTACCTCCGAACGTTTTTGCTCTACTAAAACAATCCATCTTGTGTAGCAGCAGATGCGTGTGTATATAGCCAAGAGTAGCAAGCTCTTCTCTCCAGCTTTGGCTATAGCCGTGACGCTTGGTGTATTCGCATTACTGGCGGAACCGGCCAAAAGTAAAGTCGAACAAAATTGAAAAATGTAAACAACAGAAACTTTCATTTAACTGTCAACCAAAATCAAAAATTAGCCTGACAACTATCATTTTGTCAACTGTCAAGCACGAATACACGCACTCTGATTGGTCGGGAGCATAGCAATCCGACAACATTGCATGGCGTTCGGAAATTTTTCCGGTTGCCCTTCGATTCCTATCAAACCGAACGAAATGGTTACCGAATAGCCATACTGAATTGCAAAGTACGCTATCGAACCGAATGTTCGATAACTGTGCCGTTCGATAGTGTACCGAACCAAGAGATTCGGTCTACAAAAAATAAATACAGAATAAGGCCCCAGGATTCGAACCCGGTCTACCATCAACGTTTCCCATGTAGTCCAGCGCGTTAACCCAGAGGACCACCACCGTTGCCTTGCCTTATGAGATATTTATAGATATATTAATTTATTTCGTTTCTCGGAACAGGTCACAGGTACAGGTACAGGTCACAGGTACAGGTACAGGTCACAGGTACAGGTACATGTCAAAATACAAAACAATATTCTGTCACACAAGTTTAACTGTTTTTTTAATAATAAATTGATGAAAGAACATTGTGTTAAGTAGAAAATAAAGCCTTGTATGCACCACGGGGATTTTAAGATTATAATGCCCTTCAGGCGAAATATATCCCTCGGGCCAGAAGCCCTCGGGCTAGTTTCGCCTTCGGGCATTATAATCTACATAAATAGCTATTTTGTTGTATTAGCAAGGGAGCGTTCAGAAATAGTTGGCAAGACGGTTCAAATAAAACTATTAAAAAGAAAAGTTCAGAAGGCGTCAGATACATTATTTTACATGCTGGATCAGACACAGGGTTCGTGGCAAATGCGAGTCTCATTTTCAACTCTGGGTCCAAGTCCGGTGATTACCATGACGCTATTAATGCTGAAAATTTCGAAAAATGGTTCCAGGAACAATTACTCCCAAATTTAGAAGAGCCTTCCCTCATAGTGATGGATAATGCACCCTACCATTCCAGGCTGTTGGAGAAGATTCCAAACTCAAGTTGGTCCAAACAACTGCTTTTAAGATGGCTACAAGATAGAAATATCGAATATCCGAATACACCCATGAAAATAGATTTATGGAATATAGTTAAAAAGTCTCTACCAGAAAAATAGTATATTGTTTTATTAGGAGTAAAAGTGATACTTTTTGTGGCGAGACTAAATGTTTGACAATTTTAGACGAGCCACAAAAAGAGATTTTCTCCGAATAAAACATGCGATTTTTTCCGCAAACGGTGTTCAAAGCAATGGAATCTAGGATATTCTGTGACGTCACTTTTTTGTCCGGCCCTGAGCGTACAAAAAAGTACTTTTTGTACGCTCACGGAACGCGCGGACAAAAAAGTAACCAAAAAAATGACGTCTGTGAAGTCAAACTTCAACATTGAGAATTGAGGTTAAAAAAGTCGTCATTTTTTGACGTTTGCGGAAAAAAAAATATTCTATGTAAGCTCAGCAGTAGGTTGTATTTTTACTAGATGATAGATATCATTGAAATGTAATTTTTTCCCCATTTAGACTTGATGAAATGGCGTTACAATATGGTCACCCAGTACTAAGGCTTCTACCTTATCATTGCCAATTTAAACCCATAGAAATGGTATGGTCAGAATGCAAGAGCTACTATGATTCCAGAATATGTTCAGTAACTTCAGTTACTGCCGATGCGGTTTTGACCATATGGAATGAAGCTCTCGAAAGTGATGTTTTTAAATTAACAATATTACCTTTTCTTCAGTAGTTCTCATTTTTCTATAGGTGACCCCTGAGAAATGGACCCATTATTGTCGCCATACGAATAGCCTTATTCACTCAGCCTGGGAAAGAGATCGCTGTATAGACTCTTCGGATATACTCCCGATAATTAATAACTTGAATGGTTCAGATTCATCAGACTCTTGCAGTGATGACGAAAGTGTTTTGAATTTTTAGCGATTTTTATGCTCCAGAATTTTATGTTATTTTAGTTTAGAGTTTGTATTCTTGACTTTTTCTCATTTTTGATCTGCTGAGAGTTTTTTTCTGATAAATGCCGTTTATTATCTTTTTTCTCCCATATTTATTACTATACAGGGTTATTTAGGTAGCCCGTGCATTAGCTGGCAGGTGGAATAGACGCTATTTATACTAATCCACCAAACTGGACCACTTCTAATGCACGAGCTATGAAAATCACGGTGTATAGTGCAGCAAAACCGATCGTTATGAAGTTCCTTACTGAGTTTATTAAAAACACAAAACACATATTAAATTACTGTGTGCATTTTTAAGTAGGGATGGCAAAATAAAAAAAATATATCGAATCATATGATATATCGAGATAACATATCGATACATTCGATATATCGAACAAAAAACATCGATATTTTGAATATATCGATATATGTTTTATTTTTATATTTTTTTCTTCGAGCGTGCGAACAGTGCTTTTCTTCTGCACGCATTTTAGGCCATGAAAATATAACTTTTCCGCACTAGTGTAGAAAAGTAAAATAATTATGCAATGTTAGGTCACCCTGATACTTTTATATCCTAGAATGCGTTCGGAAAAGTACTTTCCGCACGATCGTAGAAAAATAACGTTCCTTAATAATCATGCGGAAAGTATCTTTTCCTCATTTACTTGGTACGTACACGACCTAACTGACGTTTGTTTTATTTTAGCCGCCATTGTCAATTCTCAGACTGTCACAGTCAACAAATGAACTATATGCGCACTGCGCACGAGCCAAGTATTATTTTGAAATTTCCGATATATCGAATTGATTATATCGATAGTTTTCTCGATACATCGAATGTGAAATATCGATTTAAATATATCGATATATTCGAGTAATACATATATCGATATTTACAAAATATCGATATATTTTTGCCATCCCTATTTTTAAGCAGTATCATAAAACTGGGAATAGTTGATGCATTTTTGCTTAAACAAGATGTATGAAACCACTTTTTCGCACTTCCGGCTCTAAAGTTACACTTCACTCCCTGTTGAGTGGACTGTATACTTTTAAACGACAAAAATACTGATATTGTTTTATGCCAACTATGCACCATAGAAAGCCAAATTAACAAACACCTTTTTTTCAATTGTATCCAAAACTATTTATTGAAAAAGGATTTATAACAAAAGACAAACGAACAACGACAAAATTACAGCCACAACCACTTTCGCTGTCTGTCTAAATCTAACCACAAACAACAAATCGATCATGGATCGATATTTTTTCTCTCTTGGTCGATAATTTCATCCTGGTGGCGCTGGCAACGGTACAATCGCGGTCGGCGCGGTAAAAGCGACGTTGCACGATTTAGCAAAAAATAAATGAAAACAAAAACAGTTCTTATAGGCCCGAACACTCCCTGATAACAGAGACTAGGGTGTAATTTTTTCTCCCTCCAGAATTTTCGTCGATATGTTTACTAGAAATATTTGAGAATGAGGAAATCCTAGACGAAGCAATTAAAAATCGGAATATACAAAATAATACAAGGACGCAAGGCAATATCGTAATATCCCTACTAAATGGAGTACCTACTGTAAAACCAAAATATCAACAAAACTAGAATAAACAACACTATAGTCGAAAGCATAGTCACATGTATGTAGTTCAGAGGTCTGGCTACTAAAGAACAGAACCGCAAAAATGCGGGAAGCAACTGAAATAGACTTTTGAAGGAGATCGGCAGGCAGGTAAAGAATGGAAAGGATTACAAATCAGAATTAGTGAATTTATGGACGTAAGACACAATACAAGACAATAATTCCGAACGTGCTCTAAAGAGTGCTTGGGAACATACTTATTTGATATTTCCTAACTTTAATACAAAGAACGCTATTGAATTTATATGAATATATTCGTTTTGAAATAAATGGTGAAAAAACACTTTTTTTTCAGTTTTTGCGATATAACTCAAAAAGGGCGAGTCAAATTTGCTTTAAAAAATTATGGATTAAAGTATATCAATACCCATAAAATATATATTTTTTTTTTGGAATTTTTGAACGCAAGGTTCAGAAAATAGGGGTTGACTTTAAACCAATGCTTTAAACCTTTAAAAAAAAACAGTTTAAAAAGTTCAAAAAGTCTTGCGTATTTTTACAAAAAAATTTGACAAGGGTAAATTATAAATTTGTCAAATTTGACAATATTAAAGATTTCCTAAACAAAATTGCAAAAATCATGAGATCAATTCGAAATATTCCGTTTCGATTTTGGATTATTTTTTTAATATTCATAGAGCGTTTTCTAATGATGGCCGTCTCTCGCTTGATGGAATTTACTTGGGATTACATGATAGTCATTAAAGATCCCACAAGATACAAATCCTGGTGTATGTTAAACGAAAAAGAAAGACTTGACAAAATGATTGGCAAAATTCCTTGGTACAATACTAGTGAAGTTGATGGAGGTGAGCTCAATATATTGATGATTTTTAAATTTAATTTTTTGAACTGTATGGCTGCAAACGGCAATTCAGGAAAAAATACTGTATTGATTTATAGAAAGTAAAGGCGATTTTTTTGTGACGACTCAATGTTATGGGCATTAACGGCCTGGCTAAACTTTCAATACATTAACTTGACCGATTAAAATGTTAGAAAATGTTAAGTACTTTTCCAAGCTTTAATAAAAACTAAGTATTTCAGGACCAAGATATGAATGGACACAGGAAAACAGTCGTTATCTTAACAATATTCAGCTTGTGGGTACCCTTTTATCCACAGTACCGGCTGGAGTATTAGCTGAAAATATAGGTCCTTACTATTTGCTACTTTATGCTACGCCAGTAGTTGGTATTTTAAACTCACTAAGAGTTCTTTTTTTATCTATGGATTGGATTCCGTTATTTATATCTGAGTTATTTATTGGAATGCATTTGGGTTTGATATATCCTGCGCTGTTTGTATGGATTGCAAGGTAGAATTTTCATGCGAGCCTATGAAAGAAATGGAAAATTTTCATTTTCATCTTGATTTAATCGTAGGTGGGCCCGACCACAAGAAATAGGCATATTTGTAGCATCGAATATTGGAAACGGACTTGCAGCAGCTATTTCCGATTTACTTCTTAGATACCTATCACCAACAATTGGCTGGCGCTCATTTTACTATAGTCTCTCTGGTATCATATTTCTTTTTGTAGGGCTTTTGTGGTTTTTAGGTAAGCAGCTACTTTTTATACACAATTTTCTGCCACTGATAGATAAACGTCATGTTTTAGGATCAAACTCTCCAGAAACCCATAATCGAATATCAGCAAGAGAAATTTATCACATTAAAACATCACAGAGAGGAAAAGTGACGCCTACAAAAACAATTCCACCCTATGGCCGCATTTTAACGTCTACAGCTTTTTGGGCCGTGAATATTTTATGCTTTGGGACTATTTGTAGTGATACTTTTTTTGAGTGGATAATTGGGGAATTTTTGTTCCATGTATTAGGTATAACGTTGCGGTTGGTGGAGTTATTGGAATTTTTGCCTTATTTGTGTGAGTATTTTTTTTTTTTTAATTTCATCATAATTCACTTGATCGTGAGTTTACATAGGTAAAATCACTGGTTCAATAATTGTAACCTGCTTGGCTGATTTTCTAAGAAGCAAAGAAATTTCCAATGATACAACCATAGCAAGATTATACGCAGTTTTCTCACACATTGTTCCAGGTTGTGCTATAATATTTCTCAGTATGGTGCGATGCCATGAAAACCTTGCAATAATTTTCTTTTTTGTTGCATACACTTTATCTTGTTGCAATTATATTAGTGTTTATAGAGTTATTATTGATATTGCTCCTAATTATGCTGGAACGATTTATGGAATGGTACGTGTATGGAATTGTATTGCAAGTAAGTAAATTATTATTATTTTTTTTTGAAGCAATCTAATAAATATTAATTCAATTTAGAAATAGTTATACCTCAATGTTATGAATTCATATTAACATTGGATAATGGTATAATTGGTTGGTGCTTGGTGTTTTTACTAGGCGGAGGTTGCGTATTAGGTACAGGTGTAATTTTCTTGTTTTTTGGCCAGGGAAGATGTCAATGGTGGAATTTAAAGTCTGCAGATCGGCTGAAAACTTTCCAATACAGAAACCCCGATGAGCCATCCTCTAGTGCAGGATCTTCGGTGAGATCAATTTTTGTTTAAAGCTTTCCAAATTTATGTATTTATTTTGTTTTAGATCCAAGCACAATGATCAAATAGAGGTAGCTGGAAATATAAGAACTTCTTATATAATTTGATGAACATTTTGAGTAGTTCAAATTATTTATGTCTGTTTATTGTTCAACTATGTTGTTTTAATGCTTTTTACTATTTTTGAGAGCAATATCTAGTTTATAAATATTGGGACATTAAAGAAATCCATTGAATTGTATTTGAAATTCGTCCCCGGAGTCGAGGTATACCTATAAAGGGTGTCTCTAAAAGGTCTGTGCAAAATCTTAGCACATATTCCTGAGTTCAAAATAAGTCGATTTAAACCAACTTACCACAGTCCAAAATTGTTCCGTTTCCGAAATACAGGGTAGTGAATTTAAAAAATAAAATTTGAATTTTTCAAAATTAATTTTTCAACGTATTACTCTGAAAATTGGTACCCGGGGCAAAAAAGGTACTCTTGTTAAAATCCGTTAATGTGAGCCGTTTTCGAGATATTTCCGTTTTTGGTGTTCGATTCCTTACCGAAATATTGAAATTATTATTATGAATCAAAAAATTTTGCTGGTACCTTTAAGGATGAAATGTGGTCAGTGAATTACTATTGCAAATGCTTACTCTAAATTATTTTTTGAACTCTACCTACGTAAGTTTCCTAACATTTTCACATACAAAAAATTTGATTTTAATTGTTTAAATTTACCACCCTGTATGTCGGCAACGGAACAATTTCGGACTGAGATATAGTTGCTTCAAATCGACTTATTTTGACCTCAGGAATATGTGCTAAGATTTTTTACAGACCTGTACATATGAGTACTTACTTGGTTAACAATGGAAATATGCTAGACCTTTCAAGGATATGCAAAAATCTGTGGAATACCTAAAAATGGTAAAATAATACACGAATACTTGAGTTTTATCGAATTTTATTTGAATATACATTCTATGTTAGTAGTCTTATTTATCTCAAACTTTCAAACAACCGGATAAATATTATGTATACCTACCAGTTAAAAAAACTAAATTTGGATATGACTCGATTTATTTTACATAGAAAATTTTCTAATAAAGATTTATGATGAAGAACATTTCCCGTTTAACTTACCAAAATTCCAATTATATGATAAGATGGTCATAAATTACCCTTGTGAAAGACTGTTAAAATCTGGAGGCGGTCTTAGTTGTACGACCTTTAGTAAACAGGCAAAAAAAATCCTATTGCGTTGCCTTTTGATACGATGGATTTGGTGAAATATTTTCAAATCTGATTTATTTACAACATATCTACATATTTTCTACATGAATTATTTGGCACTTATACCAATAAAATAGGCGGCAGCGAACAATTCAAAGCAAGAAAAAATTGGGAAATAACATCCTAGGAGTAAAAGGTTTAGTTTGTTTTTGATCTACAGGATGGTAATTTTTCTATGAAACATCCTACTATACTCTGTCCAACCAACATACGGAGTGACAAACAACAAAACCTTCAAAAAGGTTTGTTACTATATTGGTCATTTATCAGCCCGCTTTATACGGTAGAGTGATTTTTGTAAGATTTTTGGAATAAATAAATGGCATAAATCAGTGTTCAGTGTAAACCTGGCCGCCATTTTGACTCAGTCATACTCGTTCGTTGGACAGAGTTTAGTTGCAAATACCTAAATACCTACTACGAATAGACGTGGCAGCACAAAACTTATCTCTTTTATTTCAAAAGATGATGCCACACGTAACACGCTGCTACAAAACGGTCCAGGAAAACCTTTTTTTTTTCGAATATTTCAGTTGATGAAAATGTCATTCTTGCATGTAACAATTGGTCAAATGAGTGCTTAATTTACCAGCCATCAGGCAAGTTTCCAAGTCTCTAGAAAAATCACCCAGTTATCATATTTCGCAATTTCGCCATTTAATAACCCCCTGATAACACAGTTGTCACCATAGGTGTCTATATATAATAAAATACTCTCCATTTTAATTTATTAGAAATTATTTTTTATTTTCTTTCTATTAATTGTTCTCTCCCCTGTGCAAAGAACAAAACCGTTGGGTTAACTACACAGAAGTCAGAGTTTCTTCTTTAACATGTATCTAACTCTGAATAGTAAGGCCGTTTTGTCATTACCTGATCGAGGATCTACGTGGCTCATTACCCGCTAAAAATTTAAACAGTCTTTATTTATGTACCTTAATCTTAAATTTCTCATGTAACTTGTACCATCCACTGATCTCAAAAATAAATGGATAAATAATCATACGGCTTGATTGACTAAATTTGTGCGAAAATTTGGGGGTCAATATTCTACGAACAGTTGTGCAACGGAACAGCCTAACGCCAGCGCAGTGTTTATTTTTCGAACAACTGTTCTAAATTTTGAAATATCCTTCATTTTCATTGGCTATATTTTGCGCACGCACAGTACATGTATCTACTGCGCACGCTCACAGCTGTCCCAGTTGTTTACATTATGACCTCGTAAATTAGCAGCATTAGAAGCGTTCTTTGTTTATCCATTTATTTTTGAGATCAGTGGTACCATCACGAACCGTCCTATACAGGATGCTCCCAAATTTCACTTCCCCGTATTACATCTGTGTATTTTTCCGTGTATTTATTCATGTAGTTCAGGGTGACAACCGAAAAACTTCAAACGCAACATAAATCAGTAATAGGAAAAACAAAATAATGTTGGCACCCTGAACTACATGAATAAATACACGGAAAAATACACAGATGTAATACGGGCATTAGTTCCTATCATTCCAAAGTTCTGTATCAGGTTTTCCTTCATTTATTTTCTGAACAAATTGTTGATTACTCACCGTATTCTCTTTTATTTCATTCGGAAAAGCCCGAGCTAGTCTTACAACTAACCGCGTAGAGCTCAGGCAGCAAGAACCCAGACTAATAAAGGCAATCTTATCAGTTTTATAAGAATAAATCCGTTAGGATTTACCGATAGTTTCAGTGAGACTTTAATCATAGTCCTTGGTGGCACACTACCGCAGTACAAAAAAAGCGTTCACTAGTTCTTATAAATAAAGTCTCCCTTACCCAAACCACAGCATATACAAAAACAGTCAGCAGGCTAACTCTCACGCGCATCTTTTCTGCGCATGCCGCCATTAGGGGATACCATCCTGTCATTAAACGGCAGGGACGCCGACATTTTAATTTATTTGTTTATTTCTGACAGAGGTCATAGGCGTGCGGTGTAGAGCGGAATTTTAGTTATGATTTTCAAAGTTATTTTAGTATTTTCGTGTTGTCATTTATGGTGTTATCAGTTATCATTCTTGTATATTTAAAAATATTAATAAATTAGTAAGGATAAATATTATTATATGCAAGTAATATTAAATTAGCTTATTCAAAGCCAATACGACTCTGTGACCCGAAAGAAAAAATCTAAATTATTGTTAATCAGGTCCTGTCTCGTATCCCAAAATGGCCGCTAGTGACATCCCGACCGTGAATTCCTTTATCACACGGGATGTCACTTGAGTTAGCCTGCTGATTGTTTTTGTATATGCTGTGCCCAAACCGTCACCTTCAGGTGGCGGTGATAACAAAAATGGTGGCAGCGTTGGAATTTTTTATTTTTTTTTTTCATTAAAGGAACACAATATGTTTTCCGCTAATGAGATACATTCGGCAGAAAAAAAAAATAGATATTTTTGTACTTAGTGTGCGAAATATAAAAAACATTCAACATTTTACATTGTTTTGCCAACATAATGTCATTTTGACTTTTATCTTTAAAAAAAACCAGACTTTACATTTTTGACGAAAAAATATTCATTAATTATTAGGTCTGTTCGCACAGAAGTCACAAACCGCAGTCAGAGTGAATTTCATCGGTTGAAACTAGTTTTCTTTTCAGTACACTGCGTAAGAGTCTGATTGTTGGATAGCGAACATTCTCTTGATGCCTGGCATATCCCAAATACCAAATACTAGCAGCAACATGTGCGCATGTACCTAAGGTTGTGGCTCCAGCTTCACAAGTGCATACCTACCTACAATAGGTTCTTGCCCTTTACCGTCTATTCCGTTGTATTTCTCGTTATACACGATCCATGAGCATTCCTAAATCAGAAAAACAGCCTAAGTCCAATAAATCCAGGTTCGTTGGTATTTAAATCAATTTCAAAGGTAATTTCGTTTTGTTCGTCACTTTCCTGGTCAACTCGAATACAAGACGGTGATAAGTACACTTGGTACGTTCCAAAAGTGAGTTCATGTGAGTATTCTACATTTAATGCTGGAAATAACGGCACATAAACTGAAGTCAACTGAATCTATCGTCCTCGTCTGCGTTTGAGATTTTCAGCATCAACTCGGGCCTGAACAAAGCTGACTTCTCGAGATCGGTTTAGAATTGCCTCCGCCATATCTATATTTGCATTCGGCACAGTAATAAGTCCATATTACTTAGATATTTACAATTGCGCCAGCAATGCGAACCAGATCGGATAAATTCGGAACGTGAGATATTGGTACGATATTCGAGAAGAATTCGAAAATATTTTTCAAGTGCTCGTTACGCGCTTCAACAATCCACCTCGTTTTAGTCACTATCCGTGCCTCATTTGCTTGTTCAGTTGAAAACTGACTTTGGTTCCTTTCCAAAATAGGTGGGATTATGGATTAAGCATGTTATAATATGCTATATTCATCAAAAGCAAGTATCATAGAAGGTTTAACAAAGTGTTTACTTTTATGGCCACAGTATGATGAACGCAAAACTCTAAAGCAAGTACTTTTTTCAATATCAAGATACGTGCAACCAATATACATAATCGCTTTTGGATTTTGCGGCAGCGCAGGGTTATACAAGCGATTTACGAAAGGTGTCACGTGCTTCTCCATATATACTTCTCTAGTAATAGCTTCGAAGCGGATATTTTCGGGAACAAATCTTCCTGTCAGCGATTGCCTAACTCCTTAAATGTAGATTTTCCCATACTTGTATAGTCTGTCTCGAAGAATAGTGGAAAATTACGTGTAAATACTCATCACTCAGACCTAGTCCTAACTTGCACAGAAAACACAGAAGATCCTTTTTGCTGACATTCCTATATCCCTCCCCCACCGGCACTGGATCGCAGTAAGAAGAAAGGTCGTTAAAATCAGCCTTCGTAATGTAATAAAGCGTTTCAAATTCTCCATCAGA